TTCACTTTGAAGAGACAACTGTAGCTGGAAGAGCAAGTCACTTTGGCCAAAGGATTAAAAATGAGAAAAGTATTCTAGTCATATTGGATGATCTTTGGGCAACACTTGATTTAGATAAGATGGGAATTCCTTTGAAGGATTACAAAGGTTGCAAACTATTGTTGACTTTTAGGAACCTCGATGAATTACAAAAAATGGAGATTCAAAAAGATTTCTTGATAGATGTTTTAATAAAAAAGGAGCTTGGAACTTGTTTGAATATATGGTGGGTGATGTTGTTAAAGATGTTACTTTGCATGAGGTGGCAATCCAAGTGGCCAGAAAATGTGTAGGCTTGATTGTTCTTATAGTGACACTGGTAACAGCATTAAAAAATAAAGATAGCATTGATTCTTGGAAAGATGCCTTAAACCAATTAAAGATTGTTGATACAGAAGGAATGAATGAGATAATTTATTCAGCTTTGGAGTTTAGTTACAATCATATTGAGAATGATGAAGCAAAGGCTCTTTTCTTGCTTTGTGGAGTCATAGGTTCATCAAATGAATTCTTGTTGAAATATGCTTTGGGTTTGGGCTATTCAAGCACATTAATACATTAAAAGATGCAAGATTTATATTTCATAGGTTGATTGGTTCCTTAAAGGCATCTTGTCTATTGCTTGAAAACAATTCAAACAAGAGAGTCCAAATGCATGATATTGTACGAGATGTAGCAATGTCAATTCCTTTAAGAGATAAGCATGCTTTCAAAATTGGAAGGCGCGATGAGATCAAAACGTGGCCATCAGAAGAATTCCTTCAAAGATGCACTCAAGTCATCTTAGAATGGTGTCACATTCATAAGCTTCCTGAAAGGTTAGATTGTCCTAATATTAAGCTTTTCATCTTGAGTAACAAGAATCGATCTTTAAATGTTCCAGATTTTTTCTTCGAGGGAATGAAAAGCCTCAAAGTGTTAGATTTGACTAGCATGCAATTACCTTCATTGCCCAAATCTTTTCATTTCCTTATGTACCTACAAACACTGTTTGGATCACTGTGCTTTGGGAGACATGACCAACACTGGAGCTTTAACAAGTTTCAAATTCTTAGTCTTAAAGGATCATCCATGATAACATTGCCTACTGAACTAGGGGAATTGACTCTTCTTAGAATGTTGGATCTAACCAATTCTGGAATTCAAATCTTCCCATCCAACATTATATCAAAATTGATCAAATTAGAGGAGAATTGTATTTGGGCGCAATACCTCCATCAAGTGGAACCAAGAAGATTCAGCTGAGAAAAATATAAATGCTTCCCTTGTCGAAATTAGGAGTTTGGGAAAGTTGACTACTCTGGATATTCAAATCAAAGGATCTTGGGTTTTGCCAAGAAATTTAATGTTTGAGAAGCTAGAAAGATACAAGATAGTGATAGGAGATGTATGGGAATGGTCTGATGACTATGGGGCCTCAAAAACTTTGAAGCTCAAACTTGTCACTAGCATTCATTGGAGCATGGTATTAAAGAACTTGTTAAAGGAGTGGAAGATTTGTACTTGGATGAAATAAATGGAATCTCCAATGTTCTTTACCATTTGAATGGAGAAGGATTTCCTTTGTTAAAGCACCTTCACATCCAAAACAATGGGGAAATTGAACACATTGTCAACTCATCAATGCATAGAAAACAAAGTCGCGTTTTCTTCGCCAATTTGGAGACACACGTAATTAGTAATCTCAATAAAATGGCGAATTTATGTCATGGCTCACTTGTAAGTAATTCTTTTGCAAAACTGAAAGCCATCAAAGATAGACGTTGTGACAAATTGAAATATCTCTTCTCTGTATTAATGGTCAAAGCTCTTTGTCAACTTGTGGAGATTGAAGTTTCAAATTGCAATTCTATGAAGATTGTGTTTTCAGAAAGCTCTTCCCCAAACTCACAGATTATTGATGATAATATCGAGTTTTATTCATTGCGCTCTTTGACTTTACAACATTTGTCAGAAATTGATTATTTTATTCTGATGAGTTGACATCTATAACAACAAAGAAGAGTTATCTAGGAACCAATGCTCCACCATATTTTTTTAATGCAAAGGTATGTTCTTTTTGTTTGATTATTGTATAAATTTGTGTATATGTATACGTTTTTAAATAATTAATAAATGTTTAAGAAGTTGTAGATATAATTATTGTTTTTAGATAAAACTAATTAATATATGGGCAACTACAATATCAAATTATTGAAGACTGTGTAAGATTTTAATCTGGGAAAAAAATTTATGGTAAGAAGAAATTATGTGATGTATTTTATAAGAATGATATTACAGGTGCATGATGTCAATTTTTGCATGAATAGGTACTAACAATAACATTATTATTTTCTTTTGTCACGCTGATCATGTATTATAAGTTTTAAATGAATTAAATTGAATATATATCAAGCAGTATATGATACAAAACTATTGATAATTGTTTCATTTAATAAATTATATTTTGGCTTAATTTGGATAGAATATACTATTTAAATCCAATATGTAAAATTTTAATCAGTGAAAATTTTATAAGCATTATATTCTATGAACATGATTGTCAGTTCTTGGACTCATATAGAAGACTAATGGTAACATTATTAGTTTGATCAAAATTCTCAACATTTTCTTAATGAATCTCGCATGCAATATTATTATTGTGTATTACTATATCCCTTTTACAGGTTATATTTTCTAATTTGGAGACTCTAAAGTTGAGTTCAATCAATTTGAAAAAGATCTGGGATGACCACCACCTTTCTACAGCTAATTCTCTACAGATATTGATAAATTTGAGTGTTGAAGATTGTAGTGGTCTAAAGTATTTATTTGCAGCTTCTATTATTCGAAGTTTTCAAAATCTTAAACAGCTTGCAATAAGTAGATGTAATATGATGGAGGAGATAATTGCAGTAGAGGAGAAAAATGTCGCAATACCAAAAGAGGTAATACAAGAAGTTTTTGTGTAGTTACAAGCATTATTGTTGTCGTTGTTGATCATAGAGCTGTGTATTGTATCACAGGTCCGATTCTCAAAATTGGAGATCGTGGTAATAACAGACATGAAATTCTTGAAGAAAGCATGATACTATCAATTTGATGGGATAAAGATTTTGGAGGTGAATAATTGTAAGAAACATGGGAAGTTATTCCCATCTGATACGAAGAGATCAACATTTGGAAGCCTGGAGGCATTGAAGGTCAATGATTGTTGTTCAGTGCAAGAGATATTCAAATTAACTACCAACGAAGAAAGCCATAGTGGAGAGGACACAGGAACACAATTCATACAATTAAAGAAACTCCATATCCTTCGCTTGCCGAAATCGAAACAAATATGGAGTAAGGATCCTCAAGAGAATTTCCGCTTTCATAATCTCCAAGATGTCTGTATTGAAGAATGTGAAAACTTAGAATGTCTCTTCCCATTTTCAATAGCCGTGGATCGTCACAACTTGAAAAACTTGTAGTTGATTTTTGTCGAATGAAAGAAATTGTAGCAAAGAAAGAGGTGGCCATGGAGGAAAAAGTCATATTTCACCTGATCGATTACACTCCTTGGAGATTCGCGCCATGCATAAATTTAATAGCTTCTATGCTTGAAGTCACAATTTAACTTGCCCATCGTTGAGGGAGCTATGGGTCTATAACTGTAATGCAAAATTGAAGTTATTGGAAAGACAATGCACAAGAGACCAAATTTCCATGCAGCAAACTCTTTTCATGATCGAAGAGGTACAAGTTATAGAATATTTTACTCATCTTAGGAATATCTAGCTTGTCATGAAGTAATTATTTTCTTTCCAAATAGTTCGATACTAAACTTTCATTTTCAAAGAAAATTAATATTGCATGGTTGAAGGTGAGGACAAAATTTTGTGACATATCATTTTTCATTTCAATACATTAAAATGTATATTTCAGAAGATATCGAAATAAACAATGAAAAAAAAAATGTATGGAAACTTTAGCATGAAGTTTACTGCTTTTAGGTGATATAGCTCAATAGAATAAAACCACCCGTATAGTGTGCCTCTTTGCTTATTGGTAAAATATTTTTTAATTATTTTATGTGAAAGAAAATTAATGAAGTATGTTATGTTTTAGGTGATTCCAAACTTGGAAAAGTGGTCATTAAACAATAAGGAGGCTATAATGATGCTGCAAGATCCGCAATGAAAGGACCATTATTTAAGAAAATTGAAGGTTCTTGGGTTTTCCCAGATTGATGATAAAGTAGCAGCAAGTTTTCTTGATTCAATTGCACAAAAGGCACCGAACTTAAAAGCTCTAGCTGTTTTCCCCTAGGCTGAAAATCTTTTGTGAAAGAGGAACAAGTTCTCCAATGCTCAGAAAGGTAATAAATGGGGAGAAAGATGAAGAATGGTGGTAAGGTGACTTGAATGTAACAACAAAAAAGATCTATGTCGATAAGGTATGTTATATTTCCTTTACAACAATGGTGTGAAACATAGTATTGATGATAACAAGGAAAAGTGTCTTGTTAGTATTGTTTAACAACTCTATAAGATGCCCTTTAATTTAATTAATTTTAGAATTTCCTTTGCACAGATTGCATTCCGAAACTTTGAACATTTGGACTTATCCTTGTTTCCCGAGCTAAGAAACTTCTAGTACCGTCCAATTGAGAACAACATTTTCAGTGATTTGAAATCTCTAGCGATGAAAAACTGTGACTTTCTATCAGATGTTCTTATTCCTTCAAGCATGCTACCAGCCTTGTGAAACTTGGAAGAAATTCAAGTAATATATTGTGATTCACTACTAGTTGTGTTTGAATTTAATAGAACATATGAAGGAAGAATGTCAGAGAAAGAAGTCATTCATATACAAAAAATCTCTCTTTCTAACCTCCCAAAACTTCAATATATATGGAAACAAGGTCTCAAAGAAATTGTGAGTTTTGGAGATTCAGATGATGTTCATGTGGAGAGATTGAAGATGCCAAAGCACCAAGCATGGGAGGGAAAAGGGAAGAGGATGAAGATGAGATCCCCGATCAATCACCTCTGTTTTTAGTTGCAGAGGTATGCGTTAAATCATTCTAATGAAATAAAATCTTTACATTGATCTTTTATAATCTAAAAGATAAAGTGTCAGTCTTACTTTCCTTATGTAATAACCCAAAAAAAAATATATTAATGTAATAACCAAAAAAAATTAGTAAAATTAAATAAAATATTAAATTTATATTACGGTGTTAATATTCTATTTTTATTATTTTTTTTTCTGTAGATATAATAAGATGAAGTGTTGGTATAGTAATAGTTGTGTTGACAATCTATCATAACAGTCCTTGGTTCGAATCCTGTGCATATGAGAAGTTTTATTTCTTTTATTTTAATCCTTGGTAGAATTACCATTTTGCCCCTCTGCGTTATTAAAAAAATAAATAAATAAAAGAAGACAAGAAACAGAGACAAAAACGCGAGAGAGATGGAAACGCTTATCATTTTTTCTGATTCTTCTTCCAGTAGATTGAGAGAGGGGGCGAGAGAGAGAGAGATAGCGAACTTAATTATCAAACCCCATCGTCGATGGACTTCCTTCCTCCGTTCACTTTCTGTGTCGTCCTCTGCTGCCAGCCCATCCATCGTCGGTCAGTTTTTGCCGTAGGTTCGCCGCTTTTGAGGTTCGATTTCCTTACACTTTCGTCAGTCCTTCTTTAGTTCTGCTTCCCGTTGCCGGATTTCTTCTCTTCCGTCGCTGTGCTGGCGTGGTGATGGGCGCCTGACGCTCTTCTTTCTTCTCGATGTGCAAGGTCTTCAACTTCTCCTTCTCTGTCCCTGTCATTGCTGAGTGAGATGTGAAGCATTTTGAACTCTCCTTGTTGGTTATGTGCGTGTGAGTGAGTGTGTGTTTAAGTGGCTAAGATTGCAATTTTTCCCTGGTGTTTGTTCTGCTGTCGTGTGTCTGTGATTTGGGTGCTGAAATTCTGATTCTTCTATTTGTATCGGTTGCTCTGTGTGTGTGAGAGAAAGGATGATATTATATAAATGTTTAGGAGTTGTTGAGCAAGAGATTTGAAGAGCAAGAAGTTTCATGCTGTAGTTTGGATATCAATCCCCACAAGGTATTTGATATAATGCTTAAAGGAGAATTATATTTCAATGGAGTAATTAGTTTTGGCTAAAGTATTATGGAGAAAACTTTGCAATATAAATGATGATATTTGGGGAGATCTTGAATTGTTTAGATTGGTTATGGTTGTATTAAGGACAAAAATTTAATTTCAAAAATTTTTGTTATGAAATTGAATCTAGAAAACTTTATAAAAGAACTTGATGCTTGAGAGTTGTATGATTGACAACTTAATAATTTTTTGGTACTTGTGTATGACATGATCTTAACATGCATATAATGTGTTTGACGGAATGTGGAAGGAGAAATTATCTTGATTTAATTGAATAACTAAACATGTGTAATGAATCATTAAATAAATTTTTGTAGTGAAGTTATTCAATTTTTATGCTGCAACTTGGGATCGATCGAGCACTTGCTTACGTATAATTGTTGGAAGGTTATGTGGGGTCCATGAAGACTATTTTATTTATTTAATTATTTGGCAGGTAGCTTATTGTATTTATTTAAACTTTGAAATATTTTGAAATAAAACGCTATGGTTTCACGTATGTTATGGAAAGACTGTACATATAAATAATGGTATTGTTTAGATAAAGGATGAGTTAGTGAATCATCATAATTTTGTGTACTAGAATGAAATGTGGAGGGAATATGTATTTGAAAGAAAAACTAAAAGATTGATGTCTAAGATCAATGTGGGGACATATTACAATAATTAAGTAAGTGATGATTAATTATGAGTTTTATAAGATTTTAGAGATTCAATTATCATTATATTGAATTGTTTTAGGAATAAACCTTGTGAGGAGTGTTAAGAAGTAAATTACAGTGTTGGCATTGCCTCAGGTAAGTGGATAACATCCCAACTAGTTTATCAATAAAATTTTTCTTTCTTTTATTTTTTTAACATAGATTATTCAACAACAATTATATTACATATTTAATATTTTGTTAATTAAATTTTTTTTATATCTTGAGAAATTATAAAGAGATGTTGAATGACATTATGAATTATGGCATATGTATGTATTTTTGCTTACGAAGGACACTTTCAAAATTGATGAGATTATTTTATCAACTTTGATTATTTTTGGGTTATTAATAAATGCCAAATATGAACATTAGTTATTAAACTTTATTTTGGCAAGTTTTTAATACTCAAAACTATTCATGCGAGTTTGCTTTTGAAAATATGAACCGTATTTTAATAGTGATGATTTCCCGCACGTTTGAAAATGAATTTAAAGAGAATTTTATACATAATATTAGTTGCTAACAACAATTCCTTTAGCCCTTGACGCGCCATGATCAATGATTAACTAGTTTGATTTTCATGAGCTCTATTCTCACATTTGTTATTTGTGGGTTTAACACTTGCATTTGTTTTCATGGTTTTAAGCCGCGTTTAGTTAGTATTATCATTGTGAACTATGTGTTCACGTTTGCTTTGTAACTTCAGCTGCGTTTGATTACTTATCCTCGTGGACTATGTGTCCATATTTGTAAATTATTTTTATAAATCCCCAAAAATATGAATGTTTTATTAATTGGTGATTTCATATTTAATGGTTTTCAATTAGTAAATATTGTTATTCTTATTTATTATTTAATCATTTTGAATTATTAAGATCAAATGTTAAAGCTACTTTGTTATCACAAATTTAAATGTTCTTGTTATTAAAATTATATAGAACTTTTATTCCAAATTTATAAATTTATTTACATTGAATTGCTTTCTCATTTAATTTATATAACTATTGTATTGTATTCATTTTGATTTTACAAAATGTTATAGTAGGGACGTTATTCATTGAAAATTATTTTGGTCTCAAATAGCATAATTGATGTTGTACGTCTTACTTAACCAACGAAGGACTTTTGCAGAGTTGGGTGGAAATTTGTTCTGTAAATATTTTCTATTGATGTAAATATAAAATTTATGTATTATGTTATGAAAAATATGATTAGGTGCTTCACATAGACTACAGTTAAGGTCCTTATTTTGTTATACATTTTGTCTGTCGGTTGGAAGGCATAGAACTCCTAGTTATAGTGATTTTTTTTTTTGAAATATTGTTGTAAGATTTTCAAAAGGTCTTATTTACAAGGGACGCTCTAATGAAATTTCTACAAAAATAATAAGACTTTTGTTTGAGAAACATAAGAATGTCCTAAACCTAATGCAAATATAATTACGAGTAAAAAAAGAAAATTTTATTAAATTAAGGATAAGAAATGTGTGTTTGTACATGTAACGGGCGTCCTAAATTAGGACTTAATCATCATACTAACCATGGTTAATCAAGGACTAACCCAAATAGATTATACAATACGAGATTAACCTAAATGAATTCTTAATATGTATTTATTTTTCACAAACTATTTAATATAAAGGAATCCCAAGTCTTTAAAATATATTTGAGAACTCATATCATTCAATTAAACATATGCGGAAGCATGATAATAACTATTTTTACTTGCACAAATATTTTGACCTATTAATATAATACAAGCATCAAAACACAATCTCAAGAGCCCAAAATACCTTTCCATCCTACACAAAACCCATAGTGCAAATGGATCAAGAATATATTATCCTAATTGGCAATATCATAAACTAAATACACATATCAACATAAAAGGAGAGAGGCCTACAGAAGTGATTATTATCACTTGGCCTAATGCTCCTTTCCTCTGTTCTTCTCAGATGAGCTAGCTCCTGTAATATGTTAAAAGAGAGGGGTGAGTACAACTACTTAGTAACCAAGGTATATCTAAGTTATACAAATGCATGATAATTAATTATGAATGCAAGTAATCAATAAATTTATCAAGGTGACCATTCAAACAATCACATTAATAACATGTTAATCACATTAACATTTAACTCATGTGAATAATTTCAAGAATAAAGTCAAGTATAAAATTTACACAAATAGCCACATATACATTATTCACATAATTACTACATGTTCTCATTTCTACAATTATAATCATATTCTCAACATAGCCATCAATCACTCAAATGGCATGATAATAATAATATGCATGATCAATCTCTTCCTTATATCCCCCCTTATTTCCTCTGACATGAAATCCGTGTAGTGAGACTACCCAAAGCCTTAATCATATCATGAGGGGCTACCGGGCCAAGGTTGCCTTACTCACTTATGAACACGGTTTCCCCCAAATCACACACTATGGGGTGTCATACCCAAAACTAGCTCTATCCAAAACTCCAGGTAGGCCAATAGGGTCAAGTCCCTTAATAAGAACAATGCTACAGTACCTTACAAGGTAAATAGCGGCTATAACCCCTAGGATTATTGGTTAATAGCCAAATACTATATGGATTTTGTGTAATCGCTAACTCCTTCACTAAGGCGAACTCCCGCCATATGATCATACTAATAAAAAAAATGCATTTTAAAAATTCATATATATAATTCATAATTTATAGTCAAGATTGTGCACATCATCATCAACATCAATCTCATTACTTATACCAAGTCACAATTAACTTGGTCACAAATTATAAGGTCTTAACAAAGCCACATGCATTACAAACAACTATTTTAAATTTAGATATATATATATATATATATTCTTTTGTTTCACTAACATAATTAATTAATTAATATACAAATGTATAAAATAGATTTCCCCTGGTTACCTCAACTTTTGAGAGGTCAAAAATTACCCATCAAGTTACAACACTTCCAAAGCTTTCCAAAGCTTGAATGGTGTCAAAAGAAAATTAATTTACAATTGATCACATCCCAATGTGTCAATAATATTATTAACACAATTTTCACTCATACTCTAACACCTAAGTATTTATTTTATTTTATTTTATATTTATTTATTTATTTAATTTTTTAAGAAATTAGTCTTAGTCTCTTGAATTCTAAAATTTAATTTCATGTATTTGAACCTATCTACTTGGTTTAATAGTCTCCTTCACAATAATTTCATTCAAATATTTTTCTAATATCAAAATTTCTCTTTTTATTCCAAAAATTCACACATAAAATACCAAAAAATTGTAAACTTGATTTCAAGCCTAGAATCATTATTCTATAGCCATAATAATTTATTTCTCATCTCAAATAATCATCTACATATCAACAAATCAATTTATATTTTCAGATTTAACCAAAAATCTACCTATAGAAATTTAGGGATAAACTCAAATACCTCAAATTCCAATTCTATCAACAAAATAATACTCTAAAATATTTATTACACTACTAACAACCTCAAAACCATATTTATTCAACGTAAATTCATCCCTCTTCCAAATCCTAAATTTTCTATCACCACAAAATCAGAAACCAAAGAGAAAATATGACTAAGAAAAATATTTAGAACACTTACCTAGTTTTAGAATACTTAAAATCTCATATGAAGTATCCTATTATGGAGCTTCACCTTCTAAATCAGTCAGCCTCTCCATCAATGTCGCTCGCTCTCTCGCTCGCTCTCTGCCTCAGCTCGCGTACGGGGATGAAATGAAGAAATGAAGGAAGGAGGGTGATTTTATAAAAAAAATACTGCGAGTCCCACATGTTTTTTTTGTTTCCTCTTTCCTCTCTCTTCTTTGTTTTATTATTAATATATATAATATGTGTGTGTGTGTCATGATTGCCGTGGGAGAGCACCGAAAGCACGATTTCTTCTTCTCCTTCTTCTTCTTTCTTTCTTTAGACATTTTCTTTTTTTTATAATAATAATAATAATTTAATATTTTTTAATTAATTAATTAATTATTATTTTTTTTAAATTTTAATTTAGAATTATATCCTAATTAGATTTAACAATTATCTCCTTCTAATTTGCTTACCTCTAAATATTTTTTTTAAATTTCTATTAATCTAAATTCATTATTAAAATTTAAATTGGGATGTTACAGTATATATATCCCGTGTCGGTCACTTTTATACTTTGAGACGTGACACCTTATGTCTTTACTATTTGTCAAAAGGTTTGAGGTATGTTTATATGCAGAAAATCGTTGAAAGTTTTGCTTCGTTAATTGAATTATATATGTTTAAGTAGTCAATAAATTCATTGATAGTGTGATATGTTCTACTCAGTCTTGAATATTAAATTTAAATTATTGTAAAAAAATGCGTTGGTTTCTTATTTAACCACCTTAAAAATAATCTTCTTAAGGAAAAATAATTTATAGAGTAGCAAACTATTGAAACATTTATATCATCCATAAAATTCAACAATATATAAAACCTATTATTGATCACTCCCATAAGTATATGGGATTGCATTAATTAATTACCTGAAAAATTCCAGGCTATAAACTAACAAGGTGATCAGACAAAAGTTTTGCTATTTCAATCAGAAAAGTAACAAGAGATTATGAGAGAAAATTATTTTATTTAAGAATTAAATGAAAAAAATTACAAAAAAGAAAAATCACAAATATATGAAGATTATTACCTAATATATTAGTAGAAGCATTGGGTGTAGGATTGATCACTTATAGGTTACTATTACTTTTAAATTGACTCTTTATCATCAATTATAGTGACAATTGTTTCTAAAGCATTATAATTACCTTTAAGCTAATTAGTCTTAATTTAATTAGGATAGAATTTACTTTTCTCAAAATCAAAGTTCTAACCAAATCATGAAGTTGCAATTTAAGTGACCATGAATATCTAAATGTTCTTTTAGGTTAGTTATTCATATTTACCTCTCTAGATTTAGGCTCATCACTCTTCATTTTATAAATTAGAAATTATGTTGATAAAGTGCAACATCTTGTGAAGAATGTAACAAGAGAGATAAATATGTAAACAAGTGATAGAAAGAACTCCAAACATGAACAGATTTCAATGTGAATTAATGAGTAAAAGAGAGTGGTTATAATAGAAAGAATGATCTTTAATGATCTCGTTCTGAAGCTTGATGAAGTTTCCATAGGCTCCAATATCTTTTGGGAAACTCTCAAAGTATTTAAATAAGTGAATGGAATTCTCACCTAATAGAGAGGAGTATTTATAGATAAAATTGAGGCTCCTTGTCATATTCCTCCTCAATGTAGGGACTCTAAAACTTGTGTTTATCTGTGTGTATTCAATTAATCAATTCCTCTATTGTTCTTGTTTTTTTAAATTATATATATATATATATATTTAAAAGTTGATTTTTCTTCTTTTCTTCCCTCTTTAATTACCTTGTCTGTTTGATGAGAAGGGACAAGAGTAGATCAAAACACGACTCAACAAGTTAACGCTCTATAAGTTGGATGAACTCCAACATATATGTAAGGAGGGGTTTCAATCAGACCCTGTTCTTGATGCTCGTGAATACTTAGATGTGGATGCTTGTTCCAATTTGATTCTCCTTGTGCCTTCCTCGGTTACATTTAATCGCTTGACATATTTAGAGGTGCAAAATTGCAATAGGTTGATTGATGTAATTGCACCATCAACAGCAAGAAATTTAGCTAAGTTAACAACATTGAAGATAAGAGCATGTAATTTAGTTGAGCAAATTGTGGCACAAGAGAGAGGGGAGATCCAAAATAATGAAATTGCATTCAATAGCTTAGAAGTTTTGGAACTTGAATCCTTGCCAAACCTCAAAATGTTTTGCTCTAGTAGCTTCTCCTTGAAGCTTCCACTATTAGAGGAACTTGTAATAAAGCAATGTCCAAGAATGAAGAGCTTCTCTACCAAAGACACAAGCGCACCATTAGTTCAACAGATACTGGCAGATGATCAAGATGGACAATGGTTTTGTGAAGGTGACCTAAACGGTACAGTGAAAATGATCTTTCAACAGATGGTATGTTTTTATTTTAGGTAGAAAATCACTTTAAATGAAGATAGGGAAATTATTTCTACATAATAACCTACGCATGCAATTTCTTTCCACATGTTATGATGACTAGTTGCAAAATCATTGCCAAACATTTTTTTTTTTTTTGCTTATACTCAATATGTTTCATGTTCGTAGATGTTGTGTATATATGTTTCGATGTGGAAAAATAAACATTTCTCACAAACAAAACATTTACAAGCCATTTGTTATTTGTAGGTGGCATTCCATAATTTGGAGCGACTGGAGATATCTCAATATCCCGAGGTCATAGAAATGTCGAACCCAGCATCAGCATATTCCATTGGACAGGTTTGAGACTTATTTCTTAACTAGTTCGACCATATATTTCAAATATCATATAAATATATACACACACACACACATATAGAGAGACAGAGAGAGCAAAGATTTTATATTTATTTTCATCATATTTACTCCCAATAAATATAAGAAAATAAAGCCTTAGCCATAACATGAATTTGTGTGCACAATGAAGCGCGTGTGATTAATTATTTCCCAGCCTTCATAATGATTCCTACTATCCAGGCTCATGCTTTTGACTTCTTGCCATGTCATTTTTTTTAAGGAAAATCCACATATAAGTGCCGTGCAATGGACTAATTTACAAAAAAATTCACAAAATTCATGCACTATAGCTAGATTCTTTGAAACTGAGTATATTTTAAAATTAGAGTGCAAAGACAATAATGCTCCTATTAAAAATATATCAATCAAATAATTTATAATTATCTCATTTGTAATTAATAACTATCAATTTAATTTTTTACAAATATAATTTCGCATATCTAATCATTAAATTGATTATATATTATGATAGAACACATTTGTTACCCACTTTTATTTGTCAATTAGGACCCTTTTATTAATGATTTATCACCTTCAAGTGCACACATTGCATTAGATTTGTAATTTTGCCTAAGTTTCTAGGTTCAGTGCACTAGGGGCATTTTGGTCCAAAAGATGAAGATTGGCTAAGTTTCTTTGTGGAATCCTAGAGAGATGAAGATGGAGGATGAGTCTTGAGCTTCAAATTGGCTAAGTTCTTTTGTTTCCTATCCTCTTCTCTTTTTACTAGATGGTTGGTTCATTAATCTAGGGTTTAATCATCTTAGCTTATAAATTCTAATTTGAATTTGATGTTCATGTAAAGAGAGATGATTGTTTCATTTAATTTCTTCCTTGGACAGCCATGACTGAATTTTGCCACTCTTTGTTTGGCACATAATCTTGTGTTTTTCAATTAGTGAATTTCTTGTGTTATATTGCATAATCTTGTGGTGTTAATGCTTGTGTTGTTGAGTAGCTTGACATAATCTTGTGGGTTGCTCAATTTATGTGTTTGACCATGGCTGTTGAGAGAGGATTTTGAGTGAATCACTTGGCTAATGTCTTCACCAATTGGTTAATTGAACGAGGGACTTTAATCTAAGACCTAGGGAGTTAGCTAATTAGGTTAATTGGCTTTGGATAATTTTCTTAAGTCATGACAGCTTTAGTCAAGAGGAAAAAGAAGCTAAACTTAGCCTAATCATGAGAAGATAATGAATCCAAAATCAACTAATCTCTAGGGTTCCATTATTGCGAAAAGGGAAGTTCATTTCACTCACTTTCACTAGCATTTTAATTACTTGCACATTAGGTAATTAGTTTAGCTAATTAGTTAGGTAACTAAATTCCTACAAACTTTGGTTGATTTATTTCACTAGATAACTTTCAATTAGACTAAAAATCATTCCTTGAGAGATGACCTAGGGTTGGCCCTATATTGCATTAGGGTTAGCTTTAGTGTAATTTTGAGGATAAGCGACTAATTTCCTATCAAAATTTTGGAAATTGATTGTGGAAATGGGAGGTATGGTCAATGTTAAGCGCTGGAAATGGATGGGAATGGATGTCAAATGAATGATGGAATGAATCATGATCATGAAACCAAGCCATAAAATGCAATGAAATTTATATCCACAAGCAATGATTCAAATTCAAGCTCAAAATGATGGAAAGACCAAGGAAGCTCAAATGATATGTCCTTTGCAAGTGTATTAGTAAAAAATGCAAGAAAAAAAAATCAAGAGAAAAATTTTTTTTCTTTTTTCTATTAGAATTAACAACAATAAAAATGAAAAAAAAACAAAAACAACACCAAACAAGTAGAAA